CGGCTTCCCCTCCTCCCGCCCGCCCCCAGGGCCGAGGCCGTTGCCAGGGAGACGGCACTTGCGGTCAGGGGTTGGTGGGCTCGGCCCTTGCGCGCCCCTGCATCTTCGCCGCCCGGCCCTCGCCGATCCGCGGCCAGAGGAGGGGCGACCGGGCAGGGGGCGACGGGGGACGTCCCAACCCACCTGCGGGCCAGGGCCGCGACACAGGGGGGACAAAGACACCCGGAACCAGCACAGCCCCTGCTGCCGCCGCCACCGGAAGCGCCTCTCCGGAAGCGCGACCACTGGTCGGAAGCTGCCACTCTCCCGGATATGGTCCCTCCCTCGTCTCCACCGACCTCTCCCTTCCCCCACGCCGGCCTGCCATCCCGCGGCAGCTGGAGAACGGAAGTGCGCCTGCCCGGATCGGATGCCCGTTCGGAGACCGCGCCTCCGTGGTGTCCGCGCTTAAGTGTCCCTTGGGAAAAGCAGGCTTCAGAGCATTGGTTCCTGCCAAAAACAGCTGGAGCTGGACCCTCCCCAACACAGGCAGAACCTACTACCCCCAACTCCCATTCATTCTGGCAGCCCCCAAGAATGCAGTAGCAAAAGAACCAGCCCCTCCTAATGGGGAAAGAGGATGTCTGATCAATGGCCATTTCTAGGAGACATTCCTCTGACTCAAGCCAATGATCTCCATCACTGGCCCTGACCTTCCATTGACTGTACCCTCACAACTCTGGAGGGCAAGCAGGTCGGGAATCAGCTCCCTAATTCTCAAATATGAAACCTAAGAGACCACAGTGAAATGACTTGTTCAAAGTCTTGCCAGGAGACTGGCCATTTTAGTCCCCATTAGCATCCTAGTCCCCACTTATCCTCTGACCTCCCCAACAGCCCTCCAGTCTAGCCTCCCTCCAGCACTCGTACCCTCTCCCTTTCCTATTAACATTCACAAAGAACTTTGAGACAATTTAATCTCACTTTATCCTCATAACAAGTCTGTGAGGTAGGTAGGGCAGGCATCATTATCCCAAGTGGGAAGCTGTGGCTCAGAAGAGTTAAGAGGCTTTGTCAAGGTCTAAAAGCTAGCATGGGCTTCTGGTTTCAGCTTTGACATGTAAAAGCTAGGGCCGGCTTGTGGCTCACTTGGGAGAGTGCGGTGCTGATAACACCAAGGCCACGGGTTCGGATCCTATATAGGGATGGCTGGTTGGCTCACTGGCTGAGCATGGTGCTGACATGTAAAAGCTAGTATAGAGCACTGCAGATGAGAATTGACCTTGTAGGTTTTTCAGCTGTTCCCCATTTTGTCCCCGATCCTCCCCATTCCTGTCCATTCTTCAAGGGCTGTGATCCAGAGGCAAGATTCCATGCAGTGGCGACCAAGACAACACCATTCTCTGACCCAGGGCTGTCAATGCAAGTATGAGGAGGAAAGCAGGAATCGGGATCAGTAACTGCCCACTGTAGAATGGAGATCAGTTTCATCCTTCTGCAGTTACCTCACCTGAAAGACCAACCCTTTGGACACATGATTCCAGGAGAGATGGTTGGATCCGGTCAGTTTGCAACATTGGCAGTCCCACAGAGATATATATTTATATCATTGTGTATAAATACACATCTGAAACATGCTGGGCCCAGACGGATCACTGTACCAAACACACTCTGTGGACGCCTGATAAATAAGTAAATTCACATTGTCTAAGCTCAGGGATTTCTGGCAAGGAGATGGAGCCCTGGAGCTGCTGCACCTTGAGGACTCTCGGAACCAGGGCTCTTCTGCCAGGCTGCTTGGAGGAGAAAGACTCAGCCCTCGCCTCAGAGAGAAGGGTGAGCATCAGCAGCTTTTCCTGGCAGTGCAGAGAAGTAGCAACAGGGCAAAGGGTGAGGAAGACTTCATGGTGAATCCCCTCCAGCCAGGGTCACCAGGTGCACCAGGAGGGCTCAGCATACAGAAAGGTTTTTTGCTCGTTGCTTCCGAACCACTAATGATGGCATAAAGGTTTTCCGGTGGGGATGGCCCTGAGGCCTTTCAGGGAGGTCCCTGGACTCAATCCTGTGGAAGAGAATAGGAGACATTAGGCTAGAAGGAGGAAACAAAGGTAAGACTGGCCCCAGACTTGACAGAGCATTGTTTATCTGCCATGGGGAGCCTGGGATGTTAAGTTATGTGGTGATTCTTTCCAACAGAGAATTCTTCAATACAACCCCTGGGCATGATGGACGTCCCCCACTGTGGAACCCTTTCTCTGTGCCTCTGCCTTGCTCTCTCCACAAACCTAGGGAAGTGGCCCAAATTTCAACACTGAGGGCTTTGCTGGGCTGGGGTGAGGAGATTTCCCATATCCTGATCCTGGCTGTGTCACTGACTCTCCATGTGTCTTTTGGAAAGTGACTACCCCCGACCCCACCCAGTCCCCAGCCCCCTCATCTGTAAATGGAGCGTTTTTAACTACTTTCTGTTTCTTCTAGCACCCTCTCAAAGACAGCCTGTTTCTCAAATTCGACAGGGACAAAGATGACAACTGGCAGGACAATCTTGGCATCCTGGTTCATCACCTCCTCCCCCTGCACTGGGTTGGGCACAGGACTCACCTGGGGCCACAACCATCAGGAGGGGCAGGGGGCCCAGGATGTCGAGGGCTCCTCCAGCGGATCCGGTTCAGCAGGACCTTGACTCTGTCCCAGTGGGACAGATCCTGCTGAGCAGAGGGTGAGGGGTCACCACAGAGTCCCTCCCCATACACACAAGCCCAGCCAAGCTCCCAGAGACAGCTGTCACCACAGCCAGGACAAGTCAGTGCTCCAAACAGGAATCTTGTCCTTTTCCCTGGGTATCTGGCCTTTGGGGTGCCCATACATCCCCACCCCACCCCTCCCACCACCTGCCCTGTGTTTATCCATCACCCACCTTGTGTCCCTGGCAGGATGGAAAGTTGTAGGTTGGCTCCACTAGGGCCTCTGGCAGCCTGGGAAGATTGGCACTAGGCATCCCCGCCTTTGAGAGTGAAGCTGCCTTCACCACTTCAGAAAGAAAGTCAGGTTACCCAGAGCCAGGAATAGGAAGCCACCCCATCAGCTACAACTCAGTGGGTCTGCTGGCGGGCCCCTGGACAGGCAGATGGGGCAGGCAGGACATGGAGGGAGACACACTCGCCCCTCACCTGTCTCCTCTGTCTGGCTGAGCAGCTCCCCTGGCCCCTGCACCCCCCCACCTAGGGTGTGAGAAGGTGAAGGTAAAGGGGCCAGGGCCAACTCCTCCTCTTCAGGACCCTGTGCACAGGAGAGACGGGGCAATCAGGGCCCAACTAGAGGGCTGAGGCTATTCCAGGCTCCCGGGGGCCCACTCCTCGGCCTCCCCCAAGCACACTCACTGCAGGGGGCCTTTGGGCCTGCAGCTGCAGGCAGAGCTGCTGGAGCCTCGCCATCTGCTCCAGCACCAGGCACAGGTGTTCCAGGTAGCGAAGACCCTGCCCTGGGAGGCAGGCCCAGGCTCCAGACCCCAAGTCCCTCACCTGTGGGACACAGTGAGGTAGGGGAGACTTCCAAACTCAACCGGACCCCCACCCTAGGCGGCCTGGAGACGGGGGCCAGCAGATGCTTGTCCAGCAGATGGGGGCAGAGTGGGCACGCAGAGGAGGAGCACACACCTGGCTGGCTTCCCCAGCGCCCAGCTAGGCAGGGTGCCAGGCAGGGCCTGCACCTGCCCACCTGCTCTGCGGGGGTGGGGTGAGGCAAGAAGTCATGACACAACCCGCCAATTAGGGACAAGGAGTGCCCCACCCTGAGAGCGTCAGCGAGAACACAAGGGGGTGGGGGTTCCCACCAGCCGCAGTGAAACCAGGCTGCCTGCGTCAAGTGATCCCCCTCACCTGAGAGCCGGCACTCACCGCCTCTTTTTCCAGGCCTGCCTCTAGGTCAGTTTCTGCCTCAGTGAACTTCTGTTGCCCTGCTCCAAAAGGGGACATTCCACACTCAGGCTTGCTTGGTGGCTGCAGGGAGTGGTGCTGTCTTGACAAGATGGTCGGGGAAGTTGGGAGCCGGTGGGACCTCTCCAGCACCTGCTCCAGCTTGTGGCTGGCCAGGAGCTGGCCCAGGTGGCCCCGGGTCCCAGGGTTCCCCATGGGCTCAAAGTCCAGAAAGTCCTGAGAAAGGCCCGGTGAGGTGACCAGGGGGCTATCCCCAACTGCCATCTCCACTCCTGAGTCCCGGGAGGCCAGTTTGAGAAGCGGCACCTGCCTCTCGAGACATCTCAGCTCGCCATCTTCTGTCCCAGAGTCCAATGAACACCTGTGAGCAGCGTCCGGGAGCCGTCGGTAGGTGCTGGTGACCCCAGACACTATACAGCCGCCTGCTGGGTCCTCCGCAGCCCCATCTGCAAGGAGAGTCAGCATCAGGCTGCGCAGGCCGACCCAGCGACCCAGCGCCCGCAGCATTCCTGGCAGCATTCTCCCAGGGAGGAGTGTCGGGGCCAGTCCAAAGGGAGGATGATGGACAGCCACAGCCCCGCCCACGTGTCACTCCAACTCTGGCTGGGAGGTGTGCAGATGGGGTTCCTTTTACAGCAATAACTGTTAGCAACGAGGAACCCATACTCGGGGCTGTGTGGTGGGCAAAGCCCGTGCAGGTCTGGCCCAGCAGCTCCTTAGATGACCTCTGCCTTGTGCTCACCCCACATGGGGCGGCTAAGACCTCCAAGTCATAAGTGCTTCCCAAGGGGGAGTCCCACTGTGCCCAGCCTCAGGGAGAGAGGGAAGGGCGCAAAGAGGGAGGTCTGGGGTCCAGAGTGCTCTCCTAGGGCCCCTGCCCTGTCAGGACGCAAGATGAAGTCTCTTCTGGAGCTCATGGCGGAGAGTGAGAAACGTAAAAGCTATGACGATTTGGGGCTTCTGTCAAGTGAAGAGTAGTGAAGATGTTGTGAAGAGTTTAAAACGGAAAAAAAAGTGACAGCTCACTTGGTTAGAGCGTGCTGTTAACCCCACAGTCAAGGGATCGGATTTCCATGCAGGCCAGCCGCCAAAAAAAAAAAAAGTGAAAGAGAGGGAGGGGGCAGCTTTAGAATCCTTCTATTGTCACCTCTGTGCCAGGTCCTCTTGCGACCCGGTGCTGGAGAGGAGGGACAGGAGCCTGAGCCTCGCAGCCCGGTGAGCGGGAGCTGGCCGCCATCCCGGGCCGGGCAGGGAGCGGCCGGCAGCCCGCCCCGCGCCCGCCCCGCGCCGCCAGCGGCACTGGACGGGGCCCCGGGGGCCGTCCGGGGCTCGCGTCCGGGGCCCGGCGCGCTGGGGGGGCGCTGCGCC